CCCCCTCCCCGTGCTAAGGGGTGGGGTCAAAAAAAGTTTATAACTTGGAAATAGTTGAGATCCCCACCGTATAACCATACACAATTGCTGAGTATAAAGAGAAAAATGCACAATTGCTTCCAGGTTGGCTCTAGGGTCTGGCCCCACCCTTGAAAACAGAGTCCCTGTGTCATAACTTTGAAACGGTTGAGATCACCACCCCAGAACTATCTATACAAAGGCTGGGCATAAAAAGACGCATGCAGTCATGATATTAGAATAGACCCTTGGGTCTGACCGAACCCCTATGGACCTAGTTTCTTAGTCACATCTTGGAAACAGTTGAGATCCCCACCCTATAACCATATATACACTTGCTGAGTATAAAGAGATGAGTGAACATATGCTTTCATGATGGCCTTGAGGTCTGCCCCACTCTTGGTGATTTAACCCCTGGGTCATAACTTCAAAATAAAACTTTGAAACGGTTGAGATCCCCACACCAAAACTATAAATACAAATGCTGGGCAAAAAGAGACGAATGCAGTCATGATATTAGAATTGATCCTGGGGTCTGGCCACAACCCTCAGGACCTAGTTTCTGAGTCACAGCTTGGAAACAGTTGAGATCCCAACCCCATAACCATACATAAATTTGTTGGGCATGACAAATATAATACAGATATGCTACATATTCCCTTGGATCTCATTTGGAGAATATTTTGCCATGATTGCATCGATATCCAGGTGAGCGATATAGGCCCTCTCGGCCTCTTGTATAAAAGACACGAGGTTTACCGAGTGTCTTTTACAGTTTGAAAACTCGCTAACGAAAATTAGATAAACATGACATTCATCCACTAGTGGGTAACAAGAATGTTTACCAAATCTTAGCAGATTTAACCAATGAGCCGGAAATGAGAAACACTAGAGGTTGTGGGAGAAATTGACGTTGGTTTTACAAAGTCATTCTTAGTATTGTGTAATATTTATTCTTACTATAAAGAATCTAACTTCATAATATGCTATATTTACCTATACTATAAGGATCATACTTGAAAATGTGTTACATTTTCTGCACAATTAGGAATCACACTTATTGTATTATATTTGCTTGTACCGTAAAGAATTGTATTCATTAATGTGTTATATACACCAATACTATAAATAATCATACGTATCAATGTACTTATTATACGTATTGTCTTATATCATCTTAAATCATACAGAAGCGTACTTATTTATGTGTTATATTTACCTATCGTACTCATTCATGTATTGTATTTTTTATAAACTCTGAAGAATTATTCTTAGTTATGTTTACATATGTTTACATACACTTTCAAGATTAATCATTTCCGATGTGCGATATTTCGATAAGATAACACGGATCAAATTCATTAAATTTTTCCGAAAATTTATAGTAGTTACACTTTAAAGCAGAGACTTATGTTGGGAGACCATGGCTAGACTTCCCGTGAAGGTGTATAAGATTTGACTTCCAAACCACCACCCACACTGGAATGTTTATAATGTCCTTCGGTGATACATGTATAACAGCAGTTAAGTTGCAAAACGTTTTCTTTCTTACTCACATCCTTTTAAAAAAAAACAAAAAAACCTGCAGGGATTTCAAAGTATAGAGTCCACATATTTTCAAAGCGATGTTTACCAAGGGGGGGATGATTTTGTATCCTACAATCAAATTTTGATGCCCCAGATATTTCAAACACTACCAACTAGCAAAACTGTGTAATGCTTTGAAAATGTTAAATTATCCATTAAGAAAGGATATAGTCTCTGAACAAAGACGTGAACAATCTCCTGATGGGCCGAAGTCAGTTAGTCGATACTGAAAGCGAAACAAATAAATACCAACTGCACCATATGTTCATTTCGCCCAAAGACTTATATTTTGGTATTATCTTACTTTTAAAACTATGTATAACACTTACACAATGACAGATGTTACCTGTGTACGCAGTCTTTTAATTGACACTGTTCAGTGAAAGTCACCGCATCCCGTCACCACGAAAATGAAATGAACCTATGGTGTAATTATGACAAAGCAACGAACAGAAAAAGTATATTGTATAATAATGTAGTAATAAAGACATGTTATCGACATATGTGATATACTTTTGTCTCACTTCACCTGATATTAATATCATCTATTTAATGAAATACAATCGCTTTTCACTTCTTTTTTTATGTTGTTCCTTTGTCGTCTCTATATTTGGATATGATTTTCTAATGATTGTGATCTCCTGGGTTGATTATATGGTGTACATATATATTTTCTTTAATTTTTAATAGCTTACGATTCCTCAACAGACCACTATAAGAAGTAAAATATGATTGAATTATATCTACAAATTAACAAGTGAAAAAATACTGTAATTGTCCTATTTAAACAGCGGGCGTCAGGGTTTTACATATGAATATCCTTTTCGCATACAGTTTTTTTTACATGAATATGAAAAAAGTCATGTGTTTTATTTTCCCTTGGTTGCTCAGATATACGCAAATGGAAATATCATCACTTAAATCAATTTTAAATCAATTCAAAATTGAAAGTAATGCAAATTATTTGTTACTTCCGGGCGCAAGGTACCTTCTCTGGAGGTACATCTTGGTTTTTAGTTTTGCCATAGCGTTATTACATGTAATACACTTTTACTTATATACATAGTGCTTCATTTTATCAATTAACTAGCTTCATGTTGTCGCAATACAGAAAAATCGGTCCCGGGCAATACATATCCAGAAGTCGGTCAACACAGGAAAAAGTCGGACAATACAGTACAACACGGCCAATACAAGATTTGTTGCGAAACGAACGCATCCCGACATTGGAAATTCTCTACGTCATCCTCGAATGTTACAAACGAAAGCTGTGCATGGCCAGCTTTGTCAAATCTGAAAACACAGGTTCCTATTTTTAAGTATGTGAAAGTGAAAGTAAAGTTTAGTGCCACCAATTATACGTCTGTTTGTAGCGGTATTAAAATTATTTAAAAAAAGCTTACGAAATAGGTATAAAGGTGTGAGTGGAGAAAATGGTTATTGCTATGTATTTCATTACTAAAGGAAATTAAATACTGTATACATAACTAACTGTTCAGTCGTTAAAATGTTTGTATCTTGACTTTTTTTCCATGATTGCCTTTCATTGTGTAACAGTAATTTGATAAAATTGCATTATTATACATACAAAAACGATTACGAACAGTACTTGTTATTTTAGACTCAACTACAAGGTCATACATCTGAATTCATACCCACAGGCAGGTTGTCAATTTTGCTTCAGACTAGTTATAAACTTGTGTTTAGTTTCACAGACATGTAACAAAAAAATACATATTGTTTAAGACTGATAATACATGTGACCTATATATTAAAATGTGTATACCTGCGTGTGTGCTGGAGATGTATTTGATTGCTCAAATGAAAGGGAAGAGAGTGCCCGGATAAAAGCTACTACTGTTTTAAAAATGGGTGAATTAAAATCACCCGCATCCCCCTCCTCCATCCACCACATGTGAGGGTAAGGGTTATACAGGCGAGACGAGAAAAAAAATGACAGAATAAAAATAAACCGAACAAGCACGACTGTTTACAACGCAAAGTAATTAAAATCATTTCAATAACGTGAACATAGTTAGGCATAATGACGCATGTTACTACTTGGTGCATTTTATTCCCGAATATAAACATCAGGGCCCAAAAAATAATGTCGGAAACAATCGATCATTATCGACATTGCATACCAACTGCAAACTGTCAAATATGACGTCAACACCATTAAAACAAACCAAACCTGTGCTACAAAGCCAGATTTCTTTGACAAACGTCTTTTTATGTGTTAATTTTGGCTTTGAGGATTTCCCACCATTAAGGGGCGATAACTCTAAACATTTAATCACAACAACTGTCTACCATATGAAGGGAAGTAACTCGAATGCTTAAACTATATCTCTTCACTAAAATTGCATGTTCCTTCTTATAAGCACATAATGTAAATAAT